ATTTTTCTCAAAACATTCTCATTTTGGTCTTAGCCCACATATTGCTAATTAAACGTTTGTAAATATACCGTTTGAGATGTCAAACAAGACAGACAAAGCAACCGAACACAGTTAAAAGTGGCAGTTTAACTTGAACATTTGCCATATTATACTGAACTGAGTAATTTCGGCGAGATCAGTATTATTAATTCACTGTACTGTACTTTGTTTTCGGGATATGGGAGAATCTCCTTTAACCCGAGCGCTTTTTATTTTGATTCTGTAGAATAGCACTCGACAAATGACAGGAACCCATTAGGAAGTGAGGATGACAAACGACAGCGAGGATGGAAATAGATTGCAATATGCATTTTTGAAAAAACATCAGGATGTCAGTTTTTCAAAGTTTCAAATTTGGCTCGGAAATCTTTGAAATTTTGCAAACATTTTGTTGCAGTATGGAATTTCTTGAAAAAATGCTTTTTATCATGCATTTAGTTAGAGTTTACTAAGTTCTTATTTCATAGATTTAGGGACCATTTCATGCATTTATAACAGTCTTGAGCAAATACGCCGGGACAGTGTCCCTTTAAAAGAACGGCTGAGCAAACATATTTTTTTGTACATTTTATTATTTTCTAATTTAAGATAATTACAACTGGAGTTTATAAAATAACCGCAAAGTGATTTTAAAACTGAAGTCCAAAGAACGGTTAAAACCATTCTGCAAAGTTTCTCAAATGTGCATTGAATTAAATAAAATGGTAGTAATACGTTTTACAAAACAGTTTTTAGATAAATGTATTTACAAGTTATAGGTCGACTTACAGTCATCTTTTCCTTCCCTTAAAGTGCCCATAACCTTTTTTTTTTTTTTCCTCATCTGAATCTAAACATTACCCAAGGAATTTCTGCGAAAAAATTTTGCGATTTGCAGAAAACGCGAATTTTTTATGAATGTTTCAAATCTTCAAAATCCTATTTTTGTTTGGTATACCCGTCCCGCTGTAAGAAGGCCGACGGGCTCACATTTTCCTGAATGTACGTCACAATTCCTTTGTTTTGAAGCCACGTGTTCCTTAATCTACGTCACAGTTCCTTTGTCTGATGTCACGTGTTCCTTAATCTACGTCAAAGATCCTTTGTGAACCGAGAAGGACCCAGGGGAGACTAAAGCAAATGGTGATCCAAAATGGCGGCAAATTTGAAAGTTTTATAACATTCATAAACAATTCGCGTTTTCTGAAAATGGGAAAATTTTTTCGCAGAATTTCCTTGGGTGATGTTTAGATTCAGATGAGAAAATAAAAAAAAAAGGTTATAGGCACTTTAATAACAAAAAGATCTTACTTAATCTTGCTGTTTTTAATGTAAAGCTGTTAACTTAAAATGTGTCGAGAGAGATATTATACAGTCAGTGACACAAGCTATATATTCGGAAAATAATTTCCGACTTCTCCCAACTGGAGTCGAACCTATGTTCTTCTGCACACCGGTCGGATGCTCTACCACTGAGCTACAGGAGACTCGTTGGAGCTTTAATAGGCCATATAACTTAAGGTTCAAATGGTGACAAACCTATAATTTGTTATTATAATCCTTTTCTTTTTTTTACATCGAAGTCGTTTGATAAATAAGAGACAATAAGTCGAACATTATCCTTAACTTGCTTAACCGAAAAGCAAACACCAACAAGGTTTTCTCTCTGCCGCCTTCTCGTTTACTTTGTAATTATTTTGTACATAATCATATTCCGCGCTTTAGGTTTCGATTTTCTTTAAAACTAGTATCATTCACGAATCATGATGATTTTTTTATTTCTTTTAGAGGAAACCCTTGTTTAGGCCAAAAAATACTAGTTAATCACCGGCTAGTTTTTAGTTGATTGCTACAATGAACCATTCCTTGAAGAGGAATACTCAGTACGGTTTGGCTTGATTACGAGACTGTACTGCACTAAAGCAGCGAAGGAGATTCTTAAGACCTAGACGATAATTTCCACTGAAAATAAAACAGATACAAGGGTTAATGGCACAATTTGCGCTGGCCATAAAATGGGAAACAATGCAGAAGTATCTGAAGACGCAAGAACTGATCATGTCCGATCCAACAAAGGTCAGAATCCTGCAGATACTGCGGGGAAGCCAGCATACTGCAAATCCTAACACGATGGCAATGGACATCTTCAGCACATTTCGTTCCCTTTTCGCGCGTTGTTGTTCAGCGTTGACCGATTGCTCACCTGGAGTCTTCTGTGACTTGAGCTTTGCGGTGATGATGATGTACAATATGGCTATCAACACCAATGGGGTATAAGAGAATATAACAAGGATTGCTATCAGGTAATGTTCATACGAGGGCTCTCCAAAGACTTCGTTCCACTGCAACGCACACACCACTCGCCCTCCTGGATATTCAACCAGTTTGTTGGCGAAGAGATATGGGGAAAGGAAGCCATCGCCACGATCCAAGTGGCGAAAATGAAGAAGGGGCACATCTTTGAACTGATGAGTGGGGCGGAACGGAGGGGAAATACCACAGCACCAAATCGATCAACTGCTATCAGAACCAGGCTCTGAACAGACACAGTTAAGGAGACAAGGGGTAAGAAGAAAGGCAGCTTACATAAGGCCTCGCCAAGAGAACCACTGATCAACCACGGTGAAGAGTCGACGTACAACTCTGTTAGAATCTGCGGAAATACGAAAACTGGAAACAGCAGATCGGACATGGCCATGTTTGCTATTAAATAGTTGATGGGTTTTCTCATGGTTTTCGTCTTGTAGACAATTATTCCGATGAAGGAATTTCCCGCCAGCGAAACAATAAGGATCAGACAGCAAGCAAAGGTGTATCCGATTTTTTCTGCTGTAGGATTGTAGCTGCAGCTGGATGGCTCTGTTCCATTCATCGTTATGTTCAAAGACAAGTTTGCCGACATTTTTGTGGTTTCTTATCCAGCTATTTCTCCCACAAATTATTTCAGTTTCATCTGATTTCAGTGTTAAGACGAAGTACCCGCGGGTCTATTTATGTTCTATACTGACTCGAAGCGGAATAATCTTTTGGCTTGAATTTATTCACCATGCGTAAGCAATTATAAAATTTAAGACATAATAGCGCGATTCTAGAAGCCTCAATAAATGTTGTAATTGCATCCCTTTACAAATGTCACTCTGCCGTAATGTTTCTCAAAATATTCTCATTTTGGTCTTAGCCCACATATTGTTAATTAAAAGTTTGTAAATATAAACTTTTGAGATGTTAAACAAGACAGACAAAGTGGCATTTTAACTTCAACATTTGCCATATTTTACTAAACTGAATCCTGAGCCACAGAGATCGAGCATAGATGGAAGTCTCCTTACATATAATATTATTAATTCACTGTATAACCTGTGATAAGGCGTGGGTTTTTTTTCGAATGCGAAAGGCGGCGGCGGCGGCCTCTCTTTCCTCTCTTTCGCCGCCGTCGCCTTTTGCACTCGAAAAAACAAACAAACAAACAAACAAACAAACAAACAAACAAACAAACAAACAAACAAACAAACAAACACGCCTGATCGCAGGGTATTCACTGTACTGTACTTTGTTTTCAGGATCAGGGAGAATTTCTTCAACCCGGGCGCTTTTATTTTACACTAGAATTGTTGTATGTTGATATATATTTTTCGCGTCGATTAATATTTGCGAATTTTTTTTGCAGCTTGTGCTCGAAATTGCCTCGCGTCTACGTCCTGAACTGTATTGTGATGCAAATAAGAAATATATAAAATTAAAAGTGTGATTCTAGAAGCCTTAATATTATAAGCGCACCTGGTTCATCTGATCAATTGGATTGGAATAGACTTTAACCTTAGCCACCTTATTTTCACTCCGGTTTAATAATTCCTGTTTTTTTTTTTTTGCGCATTTTGTGGCTCATACTCCTCCCATGCAAACTCCGGATACAGTGGAATCTCGACTTACGGCCACCTCTTTTTGGCCCTTTTATTACGCTCGGCAGGGAAGGGAGGTTTTCGCAGTAAAGGCAAATACTAACTTAAAGTTTGTTTGCTAGACCTTGAACATGAATTGCGATTGGTTCCTTCAGCACTCTGACTTAGCAATAGTCGTATGATAAAACAAATCACGTGTCTGTAGGGAAAACATCCGGGCACCGCACGTGATAATATCGTGCAAATGATTGACAGAAACGTCCTGTGCAGGCTTCCCACACAGTCAACAAACGCTTTAGATCACGACATGGTAATATTCTCCAAATTAATTTGAGAAAACCAAGAGAAAATTAACTCGTAATGTGTTCTATAGCAGTGTTTAATTAACGGATGGCACACAAATGTATTTTTGAGATCATGCAAATACCGGGCAGATTCGTGCAGTTTTCTCTCGTATAGATCCAAGTCAGTCTTTCAAGAAAGAGACTTCTAGTATATAAACCGATACCTAATGACTTGCAAGGCCGAATGTCTTGAGAATCAGGTTCTGACTTGGGTTAATAAACATGGCGGTTTGTTTTGATATTAAGTTTGCACCTGTGGCTTATGAATACTGCTGAGTCAAACATGGAGAAAAGAGTCGAAAATAAATAAATAAAGTGCAGGATGGGATGGGGAAAAGGAACTTAAAGCTTAAAAAAACGGCTGTATAGCAAACATCTTTTTGTAAATTTTATTGTTTCCTAATTTAAGATAATTACAACTGGAGTTTATAAAATAACTACAGATATGATTGTAAAGCTAGAGTTCAAAGAACGGTTAAAACCATTCTGCAAAGTTTCTCAAATGTGCATTGAATTAAATAAAACAGTAGTAACACGTTTTACAAAACAGTTTTTAAATAAATGTATTTACAAGTTATTGGTCGACTTACATAAGTAATCCACTAATCTTCACTTAACAACAAAAGGATCTTACTTAATCTTGCTGTTTTTAATGTAAAGCTGTTAACGTAAAATTTATCGAGAAAGATATTATACAGTCAGTGACACAAGCTATATATTCGGAAAAATAATTTCCGACTTCTCCCAACTGGAGTTGAACCTATGTTCTTCTGCACACCGGTCGGACGCTCTACCACTGAGCTACAGGAGACTCGTTGGAGCTTTAATAGGCCATATAACTTAAGGTTAAAATGGTGACAAACCTATAATTTGTTATTATAATCCTTTTCTTTTTTTACATCGAAGTCGTTCGATAAATAAGAGACAATAGGTCGAAAATTATCCTCAACTTGCTTAACCGAAAAGGAAACACCAAAAAGGTTTTCTCCCTGCCGCCTTCTATCCTTGTAGTTTACTTTGTAATTATTTTTGTACATAATCATATTCCGCGCTTTAGGTTCGATTTTCTTTAAAACTAGTATCATTCACGAATCATGATGATTTTTTTATTTCTTTTAGAGGAAACCCTTGTTTAGCCAAAAATACTAGTTAATCACCGGCTAGTTTTTAGTTGATTGCTACAATGAACCATTCCTTGAAGAGGAATACTCAGTACGGTTTGGCTTGATTACGAGACTGTACTGCACTAAAGCAGCGAAGGAGATTCTTAAGACCTAGACGATAATTTCCACTGAAAATAAAACAGATACAAGGGTTAATGGCACAATTTGCGCTGGCCATAAAATGGGAAACAATGCAGAAGTATCTGAAGACGCAAGAACTGATCATGTCCGATCCAACAAAGGTCAGAATCCTGCAGATACTGTAGGGAAGCCAGCATACTGCAAATCCTAACACGATGGCTATGGACATCTTCAGCACATTTCGTTCCCTTTTCGCGCGTTGTTGTTCAGCGTTGACCGATTGCTCGCCTGGAGTCTTCTGTGACTTGAGCTTTACGGTGATGATGAGGTACAATATGGCTATCAACACCAATGGGGTATAATAGAATATGACATGCATTGCTATCAGGTAATTTTCATAGGACGAGAACTCTCCAAAGACTTCATTCCACTGTGGCGCACACACCAGCCCCCTGGATATTCAACCAGTTTGTTGGCGAAGAGACATGGGGAAAAGACAGCCAGCGCGGCGATCCAAGTGGCGAGAATGAAGAAGGGGCACAGCTTCGAACTGATGAGTGGGGTACGGAGGGGAAATATCACGGCTCCAAATCGATCCACTGCTATCAGAACCAGACTCTGAACAGACACAGCACCGGAGACATATGCCAAGTAGGGATGCAGCAGCTTACATAAGGCCTCGCCAAGAGGACCACTGATCAGCCACGGCGAGGAGTCGACGTACAACTCTGTTAGGATCCGCGGGATTACGAAAACTGGAAGCAGCAGATCGGACATGGCCATGTTTGCTATTAAAAAGTTGGTGGGTTTTCTCATGGTTTTGGTCTTGTAGACAATTATTCCGATGAAGGAATTTCCCGCCAGCGAAACGATAAGGATCAGACAGTAAACAATGGTTTCTCCGATTTTTTCTGCTGTAGGATTGAAGCAACTGGATGGCTGTGTTCCATTCATCGTTGTGTTCAGGTTTGTAGACATTCTCGTGGTTTCTTATTCAGCTATTTCTCCCACAACGTATTTTTCATCTGGTTTCAATTAATGTTTACTTAGTAGTACCCGCGGGTCTATTTTTGTTCTATTGACTCGAAACGGAATAATCGTTTGGCTTGAATTTATTCACCACGCGTAAGCAATTATAAAATTTAAGACATGATAGCGCGATTCTAGAAGCCTCAATAAATGTTGTAATTGCATCACGGTGCCGCAATTTTTCTCAAAATATTCTCATTTTGGTCTTAGCCCACATATTGTTAATTAAAAGTTTGTAAATATAAACTTTTAAGATGTTAAACAAGACCGTCAGACAAAGCAACCGACCACAGTTTATTATACTACTATTAAACAGTTAAAAGTGGCAGTTTAACTTCAACATTTGCCATATTATACTGAACTGAGTAATTTCGGCGAGATCAGTATTATTAATTCACTGTACTGTACTTTGTTTTCGGGATATGGGAGAATTTCCTTAACCCTAGTGCTTTTATTTCACACTAGATTTGTTTTATGTCAAATTTTTTTTCGCGTCGATTAATATTTGTGAATTCTTTCTAATCGCAAAACTAAGAGGGTTGTAATTATTGTTCCTGCTGTAATTTTTCTAATTACTCAGTTACAAATGGCACTCTGGCGTAATGTTTCTCAAAATATTCTCGTTTTGGCCTGAGGCCACATATTGGTAATTAAAAGTTTGTAAATATAAACTTTTGAGATGTTAAACAAGACAGAAAAAGCGACCGACCACAGTTTATTATTCTACTATTAAGTGGCATTTTAACTTCAACATTTGCCATATTTTACTAAACTGAATCCTGAGCCACAGAGATCGAGCATAGATGGAAGTCTCCTTGCATATAATATTATTAATTCACTGTATAACCTGTGATAAGGCGTGTTTTTTTTTTCGAATGCAAAAGGCGGCGGCGGCGGCCTCTCTTTCCTCTCTTCCGTCGCCGCCGCCTTTTGCACTCGAAAAAGCTCTATTTAGCCCCCTCTCTCTATTAAGCCCCCCCCCCTACCTAATAAGCCCCCCTTTGGAGGTCAGATTTTGTAATAAGCCCCCCCTCTCTATTAAGCCCCCCACCCTTTTCATCAGACTGATGTAATAATGTCTTTAAAGAAATATTTTCTGTTGTTTTCAGTCATTTTGTATGGAAACATGGTCTTAAATTTCCAGAACTATCGTTGAGTTAGGGTATAAATGACATTGCATTTGTAAGACGGTGATATATAACCCATTTCTTGTTCTGTTTAGTTTGTGGTGTAATAGTAAAGTTTGAAAAATGAATGTGAATTTTCTCGAAAAAATATGATTTAAAATAAGCCCCCCCTCTCTATTACGCCCCCCTCTCTAATAAGCCCCCCGGGGGCTTAATAGAGCTTTTACGGTAGTTGTTTAGACGTTTCGGCTAGTGCTTAAGCCTTCATCAGTAATGAAAATGGGAACGTACGTTGTTACACGTTAGCGTGTTGTAGTTTGTTTAAAACTGTAAATTCTGTAGTAAAGCGCTACTACAAATGTGTTGATTAGAATGTTTTTTTCTTCTTAAAAACTTTAGAAACTCGAGGAAAAGTAGTCATTTTGAAGCCTAAACTGCCAAAAGTCCAGCAATTTTTCATACTCAATATCCTAGCTAGTGAGTAGATAGCCAATCAGATTACATCATTCCTGACAGATAGTGAGTATTGATAGTATACGAGTAGCTCAGGCAATTAGATTGCCGCATTTGTATTAGTATATACTAGTAGAGTTTTACTAAAAAAATGATATCACTCACTTAGTGCAGGATAAAGTCTGCAGTTACTATTTCAATACTATTCCTTTCTCGAATGGACCGCATTCTGACAGTGCGAGCGCAACTGATAGTCAGAACCCAGGCAACAAGCTTGAGCGCGCGCGCGCGTTTACTTTAGAATAAGTATAATTATCATGGCAACATGACATCACAATCAGAGAAAAGAGAAAACCTCAGATTTGTGTGAAAGTTTTCATCCCGAAGAAGCTTGAGTTCAAGAATGCCAAGAAAGTTTCGCAGAAATAAGGAAGAGGCCAACGAATTTCAGATTACAGCATCTGTATCGTCGCTGGCCATAGAATGCGTCAAAGATAAATGGTAAGTTACAAAAAAACATGATTTTAACTTTTGCCGCAAGTTCTCGACCATCCGGGCCAACCTAACATTTGACAGTAATTTATGCAATATAGATCTTCTCTTACCTTTCCGATCGGCAAATAATTCAGAGTCCATCACAAACGAAACTGTATTATGAAGCAATTTAGATCGGCTGCGAGTTCCGTTGGATGCGAAAATGTAAAACACGTGATTTTCATGTCGCGCGCGAATTTTCGCAAGTAGCTCTTGAGAATCCTGCAACGAAAGAAACGTTTGTATTTAATAGTTTTTGCTTATTTCACAAAACACAAGAAGGACACGACATCACAGAGGGAATGTGAATTTGGAGACGCAGAATTATTAACCGGATTTTTTTGTTTTTTCGGGAAGGAACAAAACTCAACAAAATCAAAAATACGACTGTAGTTTAACCTGAATGCCATTTTTTCCGCCACTTAACATGGGTTAAATGGAAATATCTCGTTCACGTTTCAAGCAATCCAAAAACTCTATGCTCATCCCATGAATCTATGTTATGGGGTGTTTTGTAAATTTTTGGGTGATTTTTGGGTATGTTTGGGAGGAAATAGTTTTTCTCAAAGGAGTTGTAAAATTTAGGGAAATAAGAAATATTGAAGATTTGATGTAGTTTTAAAATTAGAATTTGAAGTTAAAAATTAGTAGATTGACACCAACAGACAGTTGATAACCACGCAAGAGCACCCGCGTGGGTATCAACTGTCTGTTGGTGTTCCAAAAATAATTTTTCTTTCTTCTATCCCTTCTTTAAACATCCATTCCTAACCGTGGCGCAAATAATTCAAACCATTAATAATTGGCACAACTCGGGGAAAATGCGACTGTTGGGTGGAAAGTTGCGCACACTGACAACTTGTTTATCTTCGGTTGGCATGGTGGCAAATAAGTAAAATAACGACAGGGAGGGGTCGGAGGGTCTCACTTTGCCACTCGTTATCAGTCCTAGCAAGATTGGAATGCAATATGGCGGACAGCGGATCAGTACCAGCGTAAATCAGTTTCAACAGCTGTGTTTTTCTTTTTGCCATCATATTATATTTGAAAAGCACCTATGATTAATTTTACATTTTTTCAATTGCAATATGGCGGATCTCGGCGGACCGCCTAGTTCCTAGGCCTCTATATATGCAATGGCCAATCACAACAAACGAAAACAACAAAAATGAGCCAATGAGAACTCAAAGCAAATCATGTAACCGGGGGAAAACGCGTGTGACCAAGTCGCGATTGGTTTTGGTTTTGCATCTGATTGGTTGAGAAGGTGGTGCGAGTATTTTAAACTAATCATAGATCCAGGAGAATATGAACTGTAGATCGTAGTAAAGCATAACCAAAGCAATTCAGCGATCACTTTCGACAGTCAATTGAAAACCGCTCTAAAAACATATTAGACTTTGTAGATATGTAAAAGCTAAATG